GCTGGCGATCATGTGGGAGCTGGAGGAGGGGCCGGATCCTCGGCTTGACGCCTGCATCGATTGGAAGAGGGCGGATGGCATCCTGTCAGCCTGCAAAACCCTCTATGAGGAGGGTCGCCATCTGTACGATCTTCTTGAAGACAGGTTGGTGGTCATCTTCGATCGTGAGAGTGCATACAAGGTAACAGCGGTAACAGCGGTGGCGTCAACAACAACAACAACGTCTACAACGGAAGGGAGTGACAACAACAACAGCAACAATGATAAAGTCGACGATGACAACATTGTCAACAACAACAGCAACAACAACAATAACAGCAGCAACAACAACAACAACAATGGCGATGACAACGACGGCGGCGGCCAGCAAGTTGGAACGCAAATGGGGTTTGTCATCTCCCCCCTCCTCAACGACAGCATTGTCAGTAACCATGACAACAACAACAACAACAACAACAACAACAACAACAACAATAACAACGACGCCAACGACGATGGTGGCCACAACTACGATGATGAGCATGGCGGCCACATCCATAACATCCATAACCACGGCGACGATGACGGCGGCCACAGCCGAGGGAGCAGCGACGATGACGACGGCGGCGACAACCATAACTACGGCGACGACGGCGGCATCTCGGTGGTTGACTTTATCAACACAGCGATCAGGGTCGCTCTCCCCCTCGCCAAGACTCATATGGGGATCCTCCTTGTGCTTCAGTGGAGGATAGGGGTCGGATAGATGTGGCTGATTGGTATTGCCCAGCCTGCAATACCAATCACTGGCGGGGGGCTGATCGTCTTGTTGGTTGGGAGTGGGACATTGGGGGGGCGGTTCGTCTTGTTGGGTGGTGACGATAAATGCATATTGGATACTGGGCTGGATGCCCTGATCATACATCTCTCATCATGGATAGAGCTTAGTTTCTAGGCTTGATTCATAAATGACAATACACATCATATACTGATTGGGGTTTCGAGACTAGCAGGATATGGCCCTGGTTACACATATCTCATCATTGATAGAGCTTGCTTGTTGGCTGGATTCATAAATTGAAACGGTTTTCACCTTTTAGCAGTAGCGGATGCAGTACCCAGGGTTCGATCCCTAGACCTCACCCTACCCATGTACAGTATCTGTGTAGACCCCGAGAATTGAACCTGTGACCTGTGCATTCGTAGGCAGTTGGTAGGCCTGTCGTAGGTCCATAGGCAGCAGGGGCTCGATCTGTAGGTCTATAGCGTAGGAGTCTTAGTGAGTTCCGGAAACTTAGCTGTAGACCTTCTAGAAGGTAGGCAAGTGGACAAGTGGTCAAGTGGTGAGGCAAGTGTGTGGACTAAACCGCAGTGCAACAGCAGTACAACGTCGGTAGGATAGCGGTGAGTCCACAGTCAGTCCCAGTCCGGTCCAGCAAGTACCACAGGGGGACTGTGAGCACCAAGGGCCGATGGCAAAGGGCAGACCAACRAGTTYCTGAAGTATAAATCAAGAGGCAGCGCCCAGCCATTCATTCATTCCTGTGTGAGCCATGCGGAAGCGCTGCCACAGCGACTTGTGCAAGGAGGGCAAGGAGGTCTGCAGATGAGCCCGGAGGACGCAGTGGGCTAGAGAGAGGGAGTTGGCATAGCGATAGGTTAGATGCAGCGACAGCTGCCATAGCTGTAGTTAGTAGTGAGTGTGTGTGTGTGCTCGAGTGTTAGAGTGATGCGTGTGGGATATCCAGGGTGATCCAGTGTATGTGAACAGTGGGATGTTTGGGCGCTGAAGTCGCCATAGCCA